TGCGCGAAATCTGGGCCCATGCTGGGCATATCAAGGCCGAGTCAACGAAACATTGCCACAAGCCTTTAGCCTCCCTCTCCTCGTCAGAGCCGCCAAGCACAGAGGATTGCCCGAGCAACGGTGGGAGAAGAGCCTTTAACATAGCAGTGGCCAGCACCTGACACAGAGCAGTGGGGTACCCCTTCTTGGGCGCAGTGCGCCATCTCTTTAGCACACTATCCCAGCCCACAAGGGCCTCGTGGGCCCGAGCCCCATGGGAGCAAAATCCGCCTCCTGGGGTGCCGTGCAGGAGGGCGGGGAGGTCAGGTCGGCGAATCCCAAGGATAGCGGCAGGAGCACGACCCGCTTGTCCGAATTCGCAGTGGTCGAGCGCAGTGTAGCTAGAGCATGGAACAGCCATCAACCCTTTGAGGGGCATTAAACTCCAAGAGGGCACTGAGCGTGGCTCCCAAGAAGGGGGGAGGGATGCTCCATCCAAGCACAACCCTGGGAGACGGTCATAACTATCATGAGCTCAACCATGGCGTGTAGCACATCGTTAGAAACAGAAGCTTGCATCTGTTGCCGAGGGGACAGTCCAGTAATTAACTCTCCAAGGTGCTTGCCAGTTCCTCAAGGGAGGGGGGCCCCTCTCTCCAACGAGCTGCACATAACTCTCCTGCCAGCACGGATGTGTGAGACAAAACAAAGATCGCCGAGCCTGGCGTTCCAAAGAATGTCGATAGACAGTGCAACAAACTCAAAGGAAGAAGTGTACGTAGCTATGGCCAATTCGATGTCTCCCTGGATGTCACCTGGCTTGCGCTGCCCACGAAACAAGTTGGCAACGAAAACCAGGAGGAGGAGGACGAGGAGGAGGAGGAAGAGGAAGAGGAGGGTGGAGGGAAGGAGGGAGGAGGGAGGAGGGAAAGAGGGAGGGGGGGATGAAGGGAGGGATGGGGGAGGGAGGGAGGGGAGGGAGGGAGGGAGGAGGGAGGAGGGAGGGAGGAGGAGGAGGAGGAGAGGAGGAGAGGAGGAGGAGGAGGAGGAGGAGGAGGAGGAGGAGGAGGAGGAGGAGGAGGAGGGGGGAGGAGGAGCAGGAGAAGGAGGAGAAGAAGAGGAGGAGAAGGGGGAGGAGGAGCAGGAGGAAGATGAGGAGGAAGAGGAAGAGGAGGAGGGAGGAGGGAGGAAAAGGAGGAGAGACGTGGAGGGAGCACGTAGCACGGTGCACGGCGGAGGGAGGAGGGAGGGAGGAAGGAGGATGGAGGAGGGAGGAGGGAGGGAGGAGAGGCCTCAGCCCTCCTCCTCCACCTCTCCTCCCGGCTCCTCCCTTCTCCTCCTAGCTCCTCCCTCCTCCTCAGCCTCCTCCTCCTCCTCCTCTTCCTCCTCCTCTCCCTTCTCCTCCTCCTCCTCCTCTTCCTCTTCCTCTTCCTCATCCACCTCTCCTCCTGGTTCCTCCCTCCTTCTCTTCCTTCCCCTCCGAGGAAGGAGGGGGCGTGGATTTTTGGATTGCGCTCTGATTCGTCGAGGAGACGGTCAGTTTGGTGCGACACTCACTAGTTGTTGGCAGGAACACGCGGTATCTAGCAACACGGGCGCCAACGGTTGGTGAATCTCCCCGCCCCCGTCACCTAACAAGAGCAACAATCAAGCATTTCCTATGGAAAACGTGTATTGCTGGGAGCTTCGCTTTTCAGTTTTACTAGCAGTCGCGACGGCCCAAGAGTTTACCAAAATAGGCCCCAGACGGCCCCAGAGGCCCCAAGGAGGGTCCCAAGATGGGCTGAAGAGAACTTCAAGCGGCACAGAAGAGCTACAAGACGGCCCAAGAGAGCCCCTAGGAAGCCCGAGGGGCCACCAGAGGATTCCTACATGCTCGGAGAGGGCCCCAGGAGGGCCCCAAGACGGGCTGAGCTCCCCACGACCAGCCAAGAGGGACCCGGAACGGCCGAAATGGGCCCTCAGACGGGCCAACAAAGGCCCCAAAGGACTCCAAAGCAAGGCCCGGAGAGGCTCCAGAGACTGACACAATGCTTCCAAAAAGGCTCCCGGCACGCGTTCCAGTAGGCACCCGTGTACTGGGTGCGTTGAGAGAAGAGGAGGAGGAGGAGGAGGAGAAGGAGGAGGAGGAGCAGGAGGAGGAGGAGGAGGAGGAGGAAGAGGAGGAGGAGGAGGAGGAGGTCGGAGAGGAGGAGGAGGAGGAGGAGGAGGAGCAGCAGGAGGAGGAGGAGGAGAAGGGGGAGGAAGACCAGGAGGTAGGAAGAGGGGGAAGAGGAGGGGGAAGATGAGGAGGGACATTCTTCTTGTAAGATTATCTTGTTCTCTGATTCTCTGGCTCGGTGCCGGATGCTGAGGACGAGGAGGGAAGGGGAGCGCGCTCGAAGGAGGAAGGAGGTGAAGTAGGTGCAGGAACACGAGGAGGGACACACCGAAGAGCGGGGAAGACAGCGAGGAGGAGAAGGAGGAGGAAGAGGAGGATGAGGTGAAGGAACAGGGATCCCTTTCAGGGAGACGCCGACGAGGAAAAGGATTAGTATAAGATGATGGGAAGAGGGAGAACAGGAATAGGAGAAGGGGAAGGGGACTGCAGTGGACCGGGGATGATGACGACGAAGATGCTGATGATGATGATGATG